TTGCCTTTGTTGAACCTCATCAGGTTCCTCTCTGCCCAACTTTCCAGTCTATCCAGGTCACGCTGAATGGCAGCACAGCCTTCCGGTGTATCCACCACACCTCCCAGTTTGGTGTCATCAGCACATTCTAATTCTTCATCCAGGTCGTTGATGAAGAAGTTAAACAAGACTGGGCCCAGTACTGACCCCTGAGGGACACCACTAGTTACCAGCCTCCAACTAGACTCAGCGCCGCTGATGACAACCCTCTGAGTTCTGCCATTCAGCCAGTTCTCAATCCACTTCAACGACCACTCATCCAGCCCACACTTCCTCAGCTTCCCCAGGAGGATATTATGGGAGACTGTGTCGAAAGCCTTGCTGAAGTCAAGGTAGACAACATCCACGGCTCTCCCTTCATCTACCCAGCCAGTCATGTCATCGTAGAAAGCTATCAGATTGGTCAGGCATGATTTCCCCTTGGTGAATCCATGCTGACTACTCCTGATAACCTTCTTTTCTTCCACTTGCTTGATGATGGCCTCCAGGATAAGCTGCTCCATCACCTTTCCTGGGATGGAGGTGAGGCTGACCGGCCTGTAGTTTCCTGGGTCCTCCTTCTTGCCCTTTTTGAAGATTGGAGTGACAGAGGTTACTTTTGAAACTTTGCAGATGCATAAAGGTAAACAATTTCTGATCACCGAGTGTTCAGCTCTCCGTAAACCATGTGTCCAATTCCAACTGACACACGCACACAAAAATCTTAAAATGAGAGTGCTGTGTAATAAACTTGCCACAAAAATAGGTACACATTATAAACAAACCTAACTTCAAAAGCGCACCCCATTAGGTCAGCAGATCATGCAAATCAGTGATCAGGGAACTGATAGGCTACACAGTGTTTCAGGGAAATTACTATTTTGTATTGAAATACAAAACAAACAAACAAAAAAATACAGAAAAATAAAGTTGGAAGGGAAGGACAAGCAGAATTTCAAAATATGACTACTGTGCATGACCATCTATCTTGTTTTCATTCAAAATACTAGAAGTGATTCATGCACTTCCCTAAGTGACAGATGAAACTCCTGAGGTTCATGTTATTCATGAGGCACTTGTGGTTTAATCAGTAATCGTATGCGTCGGCAAAGGTTAAAGGGGCAAAGAAGGTGTCAAACTAAAATTGTCTTGACAGGCAAAAATCTTACAATCACAGTAACTGCCTCCTATAACTTAAATAGGTTAGATTTTTAGGGGAAGGTGGTGTGAAGTGATTGTAATTAAAACCATAGTTAATGTCAAAACAAGAAATAGTAAAATGTCAACTTTTACATAAATACTTTCATATAAAAACCACATACTAAAAATGTAGCAAGCTTTATACTGCTTTCAAAATCTTGAGGTATTTATACCTTCATTTCAAATGAAGTAATTTACACCTATTTCTTCATGTTCTATTTTATAATTACATACTTGACTTTCAATATGAAAAAAATAGTTTGAAAATAACTAGCAGAAAATGTCACATTTGCTTTTCTGAGGAACAAAACTACTTGAAAATTTAAGGTTTTAATTTCTTGATTCTAGAGCTATAACAACCATTTAAAACATTAATTTAAAAATCAATTCCTCCATTCTTTTATGTAGTCAGGTAGCTGAAATTAGAGGAGTAATACTGAAATAAAAGCACACAGCAAGGCTTGATAAGAAGCCAAGCTACCTTTTGTGCGGTGTTTTCCTGGTGATTGAGGCAGGAAATAAAAGCCATGGCCCTGAGAAAGCAAACTGAAAGAAACAGAAGAGAAGCTGAAGAGGGGAAGAGTTAGTCAGAAAGTACCAGCAGCCTGGCCTTGAGGAAAAAAAAGTGTTTCTGAGTTCAGCAATTTCTGAAAAGGGTTAGATACAGTCAGAAAAAGATACATCATTAAATTCCTCACACATGCAGAGAAACAAGACAAAATACTCCACAAAATCAATTTTTCCTCATAATCAAATAATCTCTGCATATTCGGATTTCTACATCAAAATTCATAAAGGAGATAATGCTTATCCTAGGCCTTCAACTTCTCTACATAAAAGTTCTGTGTGCAATTAAAGAGTTATTTCATTACTAAAACCAGAAGTAGACTGTAGCAGAAGCCTGACTTAATGCATATTTTCTCAGCTTCACATCACACTCATGGTACAGAGAGGAAAGACTCAGGGCCAGGAAAGCACTGGTAAAATTCCTAGTGTATCCCTCTACTATCATTTATTTCTTTTTATAAGCTCTGCATGATCCATCTACTAACCAAACTGGAAGCTTTTCTTCCCTACTCCTTTTATCCTTAATGTCCAACAAGTCCAGAAAACAAACACATTAGGAGCTGAGACTTCTCTCACATAGAGACAAAAACACGAAAAAATCACCAGATGAGTTGGACTAGTAGCAAGGACAGATAAACACTCAATCACAAAATAGCAAAAAGTTCAAGAAAGGGAGAAACCATTATTTAGGCAATAAAACTGCAGAACAGCAGCTGTAGATGACAATCTTCACAGGAGTGGAGGGAAATCACACCACAATTCGCGATAAGCACATCTGTATAAAAATACATACATATAACTTGCTGATACATTAACTTCTTTGTCCTGGCTTTTGTGACACTCACAGCAGTAGATATACTTACTGCACTGAATCCACTCTATTGTCTCAGATTCAGAAAAGAATTGATAGGAATCATCATTGATAGGAAAAACTACTTAGGATTAGCCAATATCTATGTGTACATGGTTTAGGCTAATATTTGCTCACAAAATTGTTCTGATATGTATATTTAAAGATTAATTCTCAATACTATTTCTCATTCTTGCATTTTCTTCATAGGAGAAAATGACAGTCCATTTTATCTTCTGCATCAAGTAGATCAACTTCATTCTTCAACCAGGGTTTCTCAAAAGATTACCTCCCTCCCAGTCAATAATCACAACAACTTTAAACATCATACTTTATGAACTTAAACACTGCTACAAAAGAATTCTTTTCAGTTTAGCAACTGACTATGAAAAATACCATTGTGATAACTTACACAGGAAGAAACAAAAAGGAAGAACACCAACAACCAACAGCTAACCAAAACAGTCAATCTCAAACATACCTTTGAAGACGAAACCGTTTTAACAGTGAACCTGATGGCAAATCTAAGGTAAGTTAGAGGACAGTTGGTCAAGGATCAGTTGTCTTTGTTTCTATTATTTAACAGAGTAAACAAAGAAAAAAGGTACCTTTGCCACCAGTGCTTTCCATTGTGTACAAGTAATCCATGTAGAAAGCCCCAAACCTCTGCATTCCAGCTATCTCTGTGTATGTCTCCTACCAACAAAGCAAAGCAAACAAAGAAAATGTTGTATAAGGAAAGAATCCTGAGATTACCAACTGATAGATTGGTATGAGACAGATATATTCATGTTTGGATTTGTGCATCAACACACAGAAAGGCTTATCAAAACAAAGGACAGAGGTTATCCCAAAGAATTCACCTTTCTGATAGGTAATGTAGCTTCTATTTGAGGCCACACCAGGGCACATCCATAATTCCAGTGGACATGCTGACCAATTCATCAATAACATCTAGTTAATTAGTACCTTTAATGGAGTAAATATTCTTCACTTGACCTCTTGCATCCAACAGATCTGCCTAATTAAATACACTGAAAAGAAGCTCATTCATTCTGCCTGTTTTATTTAAGGAGTACTGTGGTTTTAAATAGCAGAAAACTTGTTAAGACTTTATGCCATCACTGGGATTTATAAATAATATAATCCATTATTACACAGCAAGTTTGCTTCCCCTCTTGCCAAAAACAGGCAAATCATATAAGCAATGAAGACAGGCCAAGCAAATAGTTACGCTTTAAACTAAAACACACTATGGGAAATGTTTGAATGTGTGTAAGTAGATGAGATTTCACTAATTAATTTCACTTTTTTAACAGGATTCTTCAGGGTTACACTTCTTCATGAGCCGTACTAAAAAGGCAAAAATAGTAAAATTTAAATTTAAGAGAAATCAGATATACTCAAAATTGTAAATGACTTACCCGCACAATAACACAGAGCATAGAACTCTACCAACGAACGCACCTGGAAGGGACCACTTTGGTCATCGGATCCAGTCTTTAATAATTGCAGACAATCAGGGAATCAAATCTTACTGCACAATTTACAACAACAGTGACTATCAGTGACTGAAAAATTTGTCTCTGCCAAAGGCAGAATTAGCAAAGACTTCCTCTAAGTACAAAAAAACAGTGCCCAGACAATAAAATTAACATTGCCCAAGATCTGGCTTTCAAGAGAGCACTTCTTAGTTTGAAGACCATGAACGCCTTACTGGCTGGGTTTAAAGAAGTATGTGCTGGGAAAGCTGGACGTTTTGCTAGCATTCTTTCCTATCTCTGATTTTCTCTGTCGGTGTTCTGTAGTTAGTGCTTTTGGAAACTACAGCATTAACTCAGCATTTGGGGCAGGAGGGGAGATTGAGGTTTATTTTTTGAACATATTTTTTTACTTTTTTTTTTTAAACAAGAACAGGTTTACTTTTTTTTTTGGCCATCTGCAAAGTAAGATTCAGTTAAACATGACAAAGCAATTAAACTAAGTCCTCTAATAGTACACCAATCTAAATAATCATTAGAAATCCATTAGAGAGCACTAAAAATTTTTTCCCTAAGAAAAATGTAATTCTCTGACCTTATGATGAGCTGCATCCAATATAAATTCTGCACGAATACTATTATTTTCTGGACTTCTGTAATCAAATAGTGAATTCGTAAGGTACGTCATCCCTTTTGCACTCAAATTTTCTCCGCAATTAAAGAAGTAGGCCTCCTTCATGAGGTAGTAGAAAATAATAAGGCAAGGGAGGAAAAAAACATACAGTCAAGTTAACAGAGCAGTTTCAATTCTGTCATAACACACTAATGATATGGTAGCATCCCTCAAGCACATATTTCATTATAAACAAAGACAATTAAAATAACTTTATTCAAATAATGCTGAAGTCCCTGTCCACTCCCTCCCAATTTTCAAATTAATAAAAACGGCCTGAGCTAGTGAATATTACACAACCCATGACACACAACATCCTTGTGTCATTTTAACAGAAAATAAACTCACATCATTGTTACTCTGAATTCTGCCCCATCTTCTTGTCACTACATCATCCATTTCTCCGGCTGACCAATGCCTTCCAGATGCTTTCTCTGTCCTCTTCACGATAATCATTTATTTCAGCATACGACCTGCTTGCTACCTTACCACTCTTCTTTATTTATCTACACTTTTACATGCCTCCTCCATATTCCTAATCGTCTATCCTTCTGAAATCAACACAACTTTTCCATCAAGAGTTTTTCTTCAAAAAATGTTATTTATACGAGATATGATTTTTTCCAACCATCTATTCTCAGTTACATACAAAGCTGGAACATTTATGAAAGGCACAGTTCCAGCTGTAACAGTACAGAAAGAGAACAGGTGAGGCAGCATCAACATCACTACCATTCTCACAAAAGCAGATTTTCTTAAATTCACACTCTAGATGGTCGCAGAAAAATGAAAAAGAGCAAAATCCCAAATTTCCCTTATCTACTAACCTACAGGAAACCCATTCACTCACCCACCCAAACCTCAAAATCACTTCTCATTATTTTATACCTCACAATCTCATAGTGTCTACAGACAAGGCTGCCATCCACCCTCACACATCCCCAGCCACATCTCCTTTGTATCTAGCAAGGCCAGCAGAGGATCTTTTACAGTTGGCTTATGCTTGCCTCCCCAGCCTGTCTTTCTAGAAAAGTCTATGTCTATCCACAGCAGCACACCAGTCATGAAGTGCCTCCCACCACATCTCTATAATCCCAGTAATGTCATACTCTACAACTGTGTAAGGATATCTAGTTCTTCTTGTTTGTCTTCTGTGCTGCATGCATTTGTACACCAATGCTTGAGAGGGATGTCAAGCCATGCTGCTGTTAACAGGGGAAGTACAAGAACCTATCCCATCATACCTATCATAGTACAGTATATGATGATTTTCCAAATAAGGAGATACTTGACATTAATATATTTTCTTCCACGTTTTTAATTTTTCTCCTGAAAATACCTTCTAAGACTTCACAGAGCACTACAATGAAGTTAACAGGTTTGTGATTGGCTCCATCATTTGTTTTTATTTAAACACAGATAATAATTGCTGTTCTCCAGTACTCTAGGGCACTATTCTGTCTATATTTCCTCCAAAAATGCTCATTTAAATTAGAATTTCATGAACCACTCCATTAAATCTTTTAAAAGTAGTTCATACAGATATCTGATTTTGTCTTATTAAGAATGCAAACTTTGCTTCCATTCAAAATATAGAAATTAATACTATTTTACTCCTTTCACTTGATACTGCTCTCAATCTTATCGAAAAATGAGTCAAAACACTCATTTAATATCTGAGACACGCTTCTATTATCTTTAGAGTGTTCCCATTTCTTCCCTTGCAATCTTCTGTTGATTGAAGTACTTTCCAAGGTTTTCAACCGTGTTTTCATTTGTTATGCAAGATCGAAGTATGCAGACATACATCATAATGATAGAGGGTAGTGGGGTTGTCAAAAAAAAAAATTGTTTTGCAACTTCTCACTGTTAGATATTTGTCTTTCCAAGCATATGGAATAGACATTGAGTTCTATATTCCACGGACACTTTCAAAAAACTTAAATCACAGATGGTAACAGCAGCCTTTGTAAATTCTTGCAATCAAATATTTTAACAAATAAATTGGCCGTCTATGATGGAGTGCCTACATCCAGGGGACCATGGAAGAGCTATGGATGTTGCCAGTCTGGACTTCTGTAAGGGCTTTGACATGGTCGCCCACAACATCCTTCTCTCTAATTTGGAGAGTGGTGGATGAGGAATTGGTTGGACGGCCGCATGCAGAGGGTAGCGGTCAACAGCTCAATGTCCAAATGAAGACTGGTGGCAAGTGGTGTCCCTCAGGGGTCCATATTGGGACCAGTACTGTTTAATATCCTCATCAGTGATACAGACAGCGGGATCGAGTGCACCCTCAGCAAGTTTGCAGATGACACCAAGCTGAGTGGTGCAGTCAACATGCCTGAGGGACAGGATGCCATCCAGAGGGACCTGGACATGTTTGAGAAGTCGACCCATGTGAACTTCACGAGGTTCAACAAGGCCAAGTGTAGGGTCCTGCACCTGGGTCAGGGCAACCCCTGATACCAATACAGGCTGGGAGATGAAGGGATTGAGAGCAGCCCTGCTGAGGAGGACTTGGGGCTGCTGGTTGATGAGAAGCTTGACAAAAACTAACAATGTGCGCTCATTGCCCAGAAAGCCAATTGTACCCTGGGCTGCATCCAAAGCAGCGTGGTCAGCAGGTCGAGGGAGGGGATTCTGCCCCTCTGCTCCACTCTGGTGAGAGCCCACCTGGAGTCCGGCATCCAGCTCTGGAGCCTTCAGAACAGGAAGGACATGGAGCTGTTGGAGCACGTCCAGAGGAGGCCACAAAAATGATCAGAGGGCTAGAGCACCTCTCCTATGTTGAAAGGCTGAGAGAGTTGGGGCTGTTCAGCCTGGAGAGAAGGCTCCGGGGAGACCACATTGCAACCTTCTAGTACTTAAAGAGGGCTTATGAGGAAGATGGTGACAAACTTTTTAGCAGGGCGTGCTGCAATAGGACAAAGGGTAATTGTTTTAAACCAAGCGACGGTAGATTCAGACTAGATATAAGGAAGACATTTTTTACAATGAGGGTGGTGAAACACTGGAACAGGTTGCCCAGAGAGGTGGTCGATGCCCTCTTCCTGGAAATATTCAAGGTCAGGTTGGACGGAGCTGTGAGCAACCTGATCGAATTGAAGATGTCCCTGCTCACTGCAGGGGGTTTGGACTAGATGACCTCTAAAGGTCCCTCCCAAACCAAACTATTCTATGATGATTCTAAAGCATACCAGAATTGCTTATTCAGCAAGTCAACTGATATTTCAATATACTCACTTCATCACTCCTACTCATGTTCTCTTCAAAGTCTTTAATTCCCATAATTCCTTTAAGGCACGTAGCTTGGCAGCCAACAAAACCTATTTGGCAATCAAAGAAAAGTTCACCCTTCATCAGCACCTAGTGAGGAAAAAAAAAGTAATATTTTGAAGAAATCTACTCCATGAGAAATAGAAAAGATGGAAAAAAGTGAACCAAAATATGTTTAGGTTTATACATTTAGGGCTTGAATAAACAGGAAGTTAATCAAACTGTGCACTTAGACGGAAGGGATTCTTTCTAGTCTGACACTATAGCACCAGAGATTAAGATAATTTCTATCTATGTCATAATTACCACAAACACATCCAATATAGCAGAATATGAATAACCAATAATGAAATAATTTCAAAGTATTTTATTAGTAACTATTTACTACAGTATTTATTACGCATCAAAAAACCTGTCAATGAAAAATTACCTCAACTGTGGTTCCTTCTTGTTCCCAGCATATAACTTCTCTGGATTTTACTTTCTGAGGGCTGTAATAACTACTTTCAGCTTGCATTTCAGTGAGCTATGAAACAATAGGATAAACACCTTATATAAGCCAGTATTAGTATTAAACAGCAGTAATATCATTAATACACAGAACTGATGAAGACAAATTAAATTATGGGCTAAAATTTATTAACAAGCTGGAAACAGCTGCAGTTAAGCCACTGTAATGCATTCTCCATATTAGAACTTCTCATATTCAACTTCTGGTTGAAGTATGTCATAATAGAAAGTTTTAAATCCACTACAGTATTTTTAGATTGATTATCTAAAGAGAAACTATGTGAAAAGATGAAACAGATACACAACTGCATTATTAACATAGTATTAAATCAGCGTATAAATTACTGTAAAAATTCATAAATACATTATTTACTATTCCCAGCAAATAATTAAATAGCACAACAATATTAAGGAAACATTTTGATTACAACCATACTCATTTTTGTTTCTAGCCACGGCAACTGAGAGAAACATGCATTTGTATTTTTTGCATGATTTCAATAAAAAAATTGAAAGTGGTGAAACGCATATACTCAGGTTAAACATATAACCTGCAGCTAAGAAAAAGGAGAAAAGAGGCACAAAATAATGAAGGTATTATGTTTTGCATTAAAAATACTTAAGTTTATGTTGAGCAGCTTAAATAATTCAAATTCTGATTTATATATTAAAAAATCCACAAGCTCTCATTATTTTCAAGAGTGGATACACATGGATGTTGTTTCAAAGTAAAATTTTGTAATCCAAATATGCAAGAAAATTGGATTAAAAAACAAAAATCACTGATCACCCTTCAGCTGTGTGCAATTATTGTAGAGGAAAAGTAATTAATTGATTAGAAGAACTCAGACATTACAAGAATCATTTCACCATTATTAGAAAACGTTACATTTAATTTGGCATGATTTTTAGCTGGAATGATATCAACTGTTCAGAATGCTAATGCAGAAACTTGACCTTATTTTTTAACCAAACTATGAACCACAAATTAATTCCATACATTCTTTGCATGCAAGCAGAACAATGAATTCTGTTTTTCTCCTAACTGTCACCATATTAATATCATACTTCACTTCACATTTAAAAATTGTGGAATGTATGATGTTACATTTTAAGTAGTTTTTATCACTTACTAATGTAAAATGCATAAGCTTCCCAAAGAAAAATTCGGAAAGCCCAATCCAGCAAATCTTATTCAGAGAAGAAGTTCATGTTATTTTTAATGAGTTCTCACATTTGTGTCACACAATTAAAACTGTATGACAAAGCGCAAAAAGAAGATGCTGACCCACCATAAATGAGAAATTTGAGTTTTGGCTGGTTGTTTGGGTTTTTTAAGTGCTATCCCAGGGATATAATTAAACGAGGAAGAAAAAATTTTTCATTATTTATTTTTAGCCTGTTATGTTTTGGTTATTGATTGTTTGGTTGGTTTTTTTTTTAGATTAAGGCTGAAGTGGAGTTACACAAAAGAACATGACTGAATGTCTGCTGATGTCCTCAAATTTTGCAACTAAATCTGCTATGCGCCTGAAGGCTTAAAACATTAACCTCCCCACAGAATGCCTGCAGCTCCCAAAGTCACTTGTCTCATGCTTTCTGACAGTTGCTGAGCAGTTAAATGGTCTGCTATGCCACCAAACAAAAATAGCTGAGTGAGTAGCCATGAAGCTGCTCACAACACTCTTGTGTACAGATGACAAGCCAAACAGACAAGGGACAGGGGGTTGCTGATGGTACCGAGTGTATAATCAGGCACCAAAACATTACATGAGGGTTATGAAAGCACTGCAGTTCACTTGAAAGGCTCGGAGTCATAAAAATCCACCTTAATTATTCTGCTGCTGATAGAAATATTATTTCTTGTTCTGAAGAGTTCTGGCCTTGATTTAATATACGTTTAATTGTAAAACAAAGTGCTACTTTCTATGGTAGCTATGCACACAGAATTGCTCGCATATAGTTTGGCATATGTAAAAAGTATTTTGCCAATTCAGAACCTTAATTTTTAATTTCTGTCAGTACTTCTCAATATCTTCTTCAGACTCTCCATATTCCCTTCTGCAAGCTTACAAATGGAACAAAGAGAAGCCCAGCAACTATTCTGAGATTTTTTTACAGAAATTACTCAAATCTTTCTCTACATCTGTAGCTTATAGCTCAGAGTAGATGCGGAATTTATCCTTTGTTTCTTTAAATCAATTCCAAGCCATGGAAAAGAATATCAACATTATGAATTTAAATTCATATTTGCACATGGTAGTTTTTGAAAAAGGAAAAAACGCTCCTCCAAATCACAAGTTATATGAAGCTAAAGCTTTTTTATATAGAAGTATATTTATATAAACATTAGATAGATAGAATGCTGCAACAAACATTCATAGAAAGCATCTTAAGCTTTTTCTCCCATCAAAAAGTATTAATCTAAGTAAATAAAGTAGTTTCCCTTTAAAATTAAAAAATTCATACTCAAATTCTACCTCAAATAGCAAAACCACCTCACACCGCAATTAACAATACTTTATGATGCAAGAGGAACTTTCCACATTCATATATTTCGTTATTCATTAATGCAATATTCCCTGTCTCGAATCAAACAGTAGACAAGCACTCAGATAATCTTTACACACTTTCTCAATAAGCCAGATAAATCCTATACAACATAGAGAAACGCTCACCTTAAAAGTCACTGTTGCCTTTGTACAGTAAAAGCCAACTGAAATAACAGGATCCTTGAGGGACTGAGATTTCTGCTGATGTAGCGGCGTTCCATCATCAATTCCACTACAATCATTCTCTTCATCATCATAACTCACAATAGCAGGAACAAAAGACCAAGCCCAAGAAACCCATCCCTGCTGCTGGTCATCGTCTTGATGCAAATAAGGATCTTGATTAATATACTGTGTTGGATATTGCATTACTGAGCTTGTTTCATCTTCTGAGCCTTTTAAAACAAAAAAGAAGTCAAATTTCCGTTCTACTATGCTTGATAATTAGTTTATTATACTAAAAATTATTGTCTGTGATATTTATCTAAGACAATATTCCACGTGTCATCCACTGACATCTGGTTTATAATGATAGAAACTAAGTTGAAGTTTTACATTTCTGAATATAAATTTCTAAACACTTGTTTGATTCATTAACGTTTTCCTCAAAAAAAATTTAAACATCTTTACAATAGTTTTATTATCATACATTTGCAGCGAGACCACAATTTGTCATCTATACCACATGCTTTCAAGACTTCTTCCATTAAAGCCCGTCTGAAGTTCCAAATTAAACCCTACTAAATAAGGATATATAATGACAAAAAAGGACCTCATTGCAAAGGCCATAATAAGGAAAATGTAAACACTACATGGATCCAAAATTTATGGTTGAAAACCTCCTTTGTTTAAAAGTCACTTTTTCAAGTATTCAAAGATACTGGTTTATTTACGCTCAAAAAAGCTGGTACGCTGCCTGTGAGTCAAAAAACTAGATGTTGGCCTTCTGTGAAAAAATATTAGAGATAGCACATAGAACAAAACAAGGATTTCCCCAAAAATACAAGTCTAAGATTCATAATCCAAATAGGTAACAACATGCATGTACAAACAGCACAATGAGCTTAGCCTGTCTGGCTTCATCACTGCTCTTACGGGACTCCCGAGGGGTATTAACCACTTCAGAGTTACCATAGGTAGTACAGGATGCAGAACTGTTCCCACATGGGAACAACACTGAATGTATTATTTAACTGAGAATGGAAATATTCCATTTCTATTTACTTATTTTTAAAACTCAGAGGACCCACTCTTAGAAGTTTTAGAGCTTGTAGTCTTTAGTCTAATTAGTCTTTTAGTCTAATTATTTATACACTTGTGCAATGGGAGAAAGCATAAGAAGAAATGCTCATGAGAATTCTCTGCATGTGCTTGGAGGGGAGGACACCTCCTCCCACCAGGGCAATGCAAGCTTCCTTCCCGCTCTCTGTACAAAATGGTGTCAGAGATCAGATTTCAATTCAAATGCGAAGCTGCAAACACAGGAAACACAGAAGAGGTGCACATCAAGTCTTGGAAATGGCTGAGAGGCAGAACTGTCAGATGGAGAAGGAAACAGAATTTATACGGAGCACAACTCCAGTAGTTTAGCCTAGACTGTTTCTAACAAGCACAAAGTAACTGTGGAAGGTCTGCCAAAAGCAAAAAAAAATCTGGAGGTGTAGGGCCTGGGTCGTGCATAACATTTGGTCTACACAGCCATAAAATTCAGCCTTCATTTACCATACCTCTTTGCTGCAGTATGTGTACACACAGAGACAACAGTAAAACATGCTAAATAATAGTTTGGTTTATAATATTTATTAATATTTTAGAAGCCATTAAAATAAGACAGAAGACCAGCTAGACTAGTATGGCGGTATCTACACACTATGAGACAGAAGACAGAAGAAGATACAGCCATCTTCTATCACTGAATTAAAACTTCTACAACCATTAGGTAATCAACAGTCAAACTGAACAAACGCACATAAGCCTAGTAAGCAACCCACAACATCCTCTAAACATTTCAAAGCATAAATATAATGTAAATTCCTTTATAACAAGTAATGCATGAAGAGGAGTACGTACTTCAGAAACACAAAGCCTCTTTGGTTTTAACTAACTACACTTATCACTACATCAGCTGCAAACATACAGGACAGTGAAACAGAATGATAAAACTTCTATGTCTTACATACATGAGTTTTTTAAAGGACAAAGTGCTCCTACTCATCAGGTTTCTAAATCCACACTTGCTAACTCCCCATAGCTGCGATCACACTGGAACAATCTTGCTTCATAGTGTAGGGCAGTGATTTCAGTCAAGAAACACATTTTATATAAATTACAAGATTGCAGTGTGACTGCATCTCACTGTTTCCATGCTCAAACCAAGTGTGATCTTCAGAAATTCACTATCGCTTCTTTTAAGTGTTTGAAATACTTACCTCTAAGAGTCCAGAAACTGTTATCTCTCACCGTAAGATTGGAACTAACCTACCAGAAACCTACTCTCTTCACATGTATTTATTTTTCTGCCTCTATTAGTTCTCAGCCAAGTAAGGCTAATCCAGCTTAGCCTGCGGCTACATAAACACAAGTGCTGGCACTAGGGGAAGAGCGAGGAAATGCATCACCATCCCCGCCAGCAACAGCGCGAATTTGCACCTGGTTGAATCAACCACGAAACTACATAAATGAGATTTGGTAAGTACTTTCACCTCAACTGTAATAACACACATGTTTTCAGAGTAACAATGTGAAATGTTCCTTTGCATATATTTATTACATAAGGAATGCACAGAAATTACTAACATACAGAAAAAAACCAACAAGTTCAACATTTGTAAAAGTTCCTCCCAATATGTTTATACTACTCAGTGGCTGTGTTGCCAAACTGAATTTTCTTTGAAAGATTTTGTTCATTTTGGATCTATACCATAGAAAGACAATGAAATGACTACCACAAGATAACTCATAATATTTACTATGCTAGTAGCTTAGATTTTTGATCTTCAAGCAGTTTTACTTCACAGTACATATTAAAAAATCGTGGCTCGTGATCTATTGCACATGCATTACACTAGCACAGCACTATCAATGAAGGACACTGCACGTAACTGGAAATGATACCAACACCAGCAGAAACCACAATCCTATGTATCAAACTCTATTCTGAAAGGTATTCCACATCTCCTTGTAAAAGCCAATGTACCCTCAACACTTTCTAGTTGAAAATATGATGCCATCATAATTGTAGCATGAATACAATATTACAACAGTCGCACACACAAGTGACAGTACTTCTGCATATTTAAGTGGTATCAAAACTGTTTCGTACAACTCACTACAGTGAATCAGGCAGCCAGGAATCAGTACCGCAAAATAGTAAGACTTAAAGGTTTCTTCTTATTTCTGCATTGAGAACATCATCTTCCTTACACTCAAATCTCTGGATCCCACTAGGCCAGAATACACTCCCACCTTACAGACAAACATAAATCAAGGGAAGAAATCATAAGTCCCTTTTACTGCAAAGTTGTACAGTCCACTGGATATGGAATGCGACTGTAACACACAGAAGCTTCAGGGTCAGCTCCAGAGAACCTGGTTTTTCACAGTATGTACCTCCATCTATTAAACAAACTTCCCCAAGCTTCTACTCCTAGTCTACCTGTCTCGTCTTACTGTAAATTGAAATTACCCTAGTGAAGAACTGATGGATAAGGAGGGACAGAAAGAATAAGCTTCCAAATTTGTTAAGAAAATTCCAATCAAAGAATGATGCCACAATAGTTCTGAAGTGCTTAAATAACACCAGTAAATATTCTAAAGTGCTCCCCATAACATTACTTGAGGTTGCTAATCAATTATTTTAAAATTGCAATTACTTCAACAATATTCCAACCTCAATAAAATTAGAAGTAGACATATGACTTAGTTAAGGGTGAGCTACAAAACAAGTGGCAGTGATTTTAAAACACTAGAACCAGGACAAGAGATAGGAGATAATTCTATTTTAATGGCACAGGAGACTAAATAACATGAAATATCACACCAAAAGGGCAAGCACTTCCGGATTGAGGTACAAGTCACAAGACAATTAATTTCAAAGTGATTTGTAAGTGCAGACACCCAATAGGGAGAGGAAGGTGTTAGTTGTCTCTCAGTGCCAATCCAAAAAGTGTTTTTGTTTCATATCCCATATACAAGTTCAAAGAGATCAATTGGAAATACACTATGCTTACTAAAGCATTAAAAAAGTGCTTGCATTCTGCCATCTACATTAAGCCACTTCTAAACTCAGCTGCAGAAAAACTGGTCTGATATTTAAGGTTTTACGTAGTAAGTAAAAACAAAAGGTCAGCCTGTGACTCAGCCTTTCAGAGATTTAATTAGATTTTTTGGGACCTCTACTTAAGAAGCATTAATGTTTTTCGAGAAAAAAAGAAAAAGGCAAGACAACATAAAATAGATGTTTAAAAGGCATTCATAAAAATGAGTTCTCCACAAAAACCTTATAGTTCCTAAAGCAATAAAAATATTTAACATAAACAAATTTAACCTCTCCAATTTAGGAACTTTACAAATTGGGAATTAATCGTTACTCATTTTTTTTATTTGATACCTGCTGCTCATCTAACTGATGTTAATAGATGTAAGCAATTCTATGTGTCTAAACATGTATTCCAAATAAATGAAATCTGGCTTTCTCCACACAATGAGCTGGATACCCATCTTTAGCATATGGGATCTCAGCAGCCAGTTGCAATGCACTGTTATAGACGCCCACAACAAAGTTACTCACTGTTACAATGGCTGTTAGACAGCTGCACAATGCACTGACCCCACAAGCCCCGCTGCGCATGTGTCTACCCATGCTGCATCTTTATAGTCTGTTGAAATATTGCAAGTATAGCTACTGTTCCTTGGGGGGATACGTAAGTATACAGGCAAGGAAGAAGCTCCAATAACGGAGATGGTAGGAGATGACCGGAGGTGAAAAGACGACTGTGGGGGTGTACTGCACAGGTCATTTATCCCACAAAACACATGAAAACATGAAGAGCCGAAACATTATTGTGTACCCTGCTGCAAAGATCATATGTATATCTCCATGTCTTTAACCCTGAAATGAAGACAGCAAAAAGTGCAGGGACAAGAAAAATAAGCAGGACAGTAATTTGGCACACACAACCTTTTATCCTGGTATCATTTCAGTCAAACATTTTTTCCACTGTTTAGGAGCAACTCTCCTCGACACAAACTCTTTTAACACAGTGCACAGCTGCTTCTCCTCAGTCAAGTATGGATAAATAAATTTCAGTTCTCACATTTTTATCCTAAAAGAATACTGCAGAGTCAACTCCACCTCCAACAACTAATGCTCACCTAGTATTTCCTGCCGCCACAAATTATTTGCACCTGGTTTTCTCAGTCAGCTCAAATCTCCTATTGATCCCAAATCTGTCAATATATTGATATATACTCATACATACTCATTCTCTTGATCTGCTCTTTGTTCCATTGGTATCCCAAAAAATTCCACAAGCTAACCAAGTTTTCAATAAGGAGCACTTCAGCCCACTAAAAATTTGAGTTTCACAGGATCTGTGCAACATTTTATTCTGTTTAGTGTTGTAAAAAAGTGTTAACTACTTGCATTCACAAAGGCCTTCTTTATTTTCGCTTAGTTTTTCGAGAGTAAAGATCACAACAGGGTCAGTGTGCTTTACAAATATTACAAAATTTCATAATATTCCTTTGGGATGGAAAGGTACTGTCATTATTACCATTTAACACCTGGGAAACATGCTTCATATGCTGGAATCACATCTGCCATGCATTTCACTTTATGAAAGAAAAAAAAGAAACCACCACACCAAAACTTTCACAATCCAGAATCTCCAGGCAGTCAGAGGAGGCAGCACCAGAAACTGTTAAAGCCACTCTCAGAAGCTCAGTAAGCTCATACTGCTCACCTCTGTCCCTCACCACCAGTAAGCTCACCACCTTCTCACCTCTGTCCCAAGCTTCTTGCTCAACATCTCCTAACGTCATGGTGCAGACCCATCCCAGCTGTCTCTGCCTGCCTGCCCTGCACCCCTGCCTCAGCCATACAGCTTCTCATTTCTAGTCCACTGTTTGTGCTTCTTTGCCCAGTGTGTGCTAGACTTCATCTGCTAGAGTTTTTCTGGTCTTGACACCTCTCAGATCAGTCTTTACTAAAACCACTTCTAGTATTTCAGCCTTAGATCAACCTCAGCAACTCCATCCAACTAAATTCCAGCTCTCCCTTGCATCCTGGCTTCTTGTCCTCTTTCATGCCTAAATCATTTTAATTCTAGTTACATCAGCCAACTTTTTCTACTACAAACCAGAAGTTTATTCTCAAGCCCCAGCCCACCACAACTACAACTGCTGGTTCTGCCATAGGCTCTTGTCCAAACCCTTCTCACTTCTGTGTCTCTCTGCACTGAAATACATCCATTTCCACCATCACACCAGCAGCAGTCAGGCACCCAAGCCCACAATTCCGGCAGCCCTCAGCCCCTCCGAAGCAAAAGCCCCGTCCAGCCCTAAGGAGGAGCACAGTCCAGCATGCAGGCAGCACTAAGTGAATTTACAGACCAAACTAAAGCGAGTTTTCACCTGTATTTCTGAGCTGTATTTTTACCTTTGTGTTTTGAATGCTTTCAGCTTAATAGAATTTGAGCAGACTTTACTCAAGCAGCAATACACATGTTCATGACATAGGTTACCCTACTGCCAAATCTCAAGGTCTTGGTCTTATGTTTCAGTATACAAGAACAAATACACTGCATCTGGAATATTCTTGGACATGAATAGGTGACTGATTGTACTATGTCAACAACAACATAATAGAAGTAAGTTCTATCCAAAAGACTAAGAATTAGTGATAACTGAGCCCATTAAATTCTTCAGACTGAAAGGGTAAGGACTGCTTACTAATAAATACTGGGTTGAACTGTTTAATGAATCTTCAGAACCCTTTCAAAGTGTTATAAAAATACAATCTATAAAGGAGGTCTGTACATTACTAAACTGTAAAGAATTCTGGCACAATTCCAGTGGAATTAGTCTTGGATTTCATGAAGCGTTACTCTTGGAAAAAAATGTGGCTAATATAGCTTGGCAGATAGTACATGTCATTTATTATCATACTTGATTACATATTTTTTTCTGAAAATAGTAGCACATTCAAAGTTTCCTCAGAAAAGTTCAAAACTGTGGTTGGAAATTCGGATGACAAATGTACCACAAAGTGTGAAGCAAGTAGTTTTTTTTTTTCCTTCTCAGACACAAGTATAATATGAAGTCAGAGGAAGAAAAACAGTAAACTCACAAACTGATGATATCGGTAACCTGGTTAATGTCAATTTGGCACTCCTGTTTTACTGCACTGGACAAGAGGAAAAAAATCATTCGATATTTAAAAGTTTTATTTATGTGTGTGTACCTGCATGTGCACACGCGTGTGTACGTATGCCTACACATATACTGAACTCTATGCAGGAAACAAGCATAAACAGTATAAAGGAAAACAATAACAGTTTTAGCCTGTATGAGGCAATATATTTTAGGTAGAAATAGACCTCTAGAACTGCTTCTACAGCTCTGGCTCGGCCACCCAACAATTGCCTTCTCTTTTGTGTTCTAAAGGAGATAGTTGTGTTAAATAGATATGATCATATAATTAAGCCGAATGACTTATGTTTGAGCACAACATAGCTGAACAAAAACTGCATAGGAAATAACAGATTTCCTCCTTAGTAGTTCTTGTCATTGCAACCTTAGTCTAATTTCTGACCCTTCTTACAACCCTTGCGTACATCAGTGTGAAGTTATGTGATATTATTTCTTTTTCAGATGTCTATTTCATGAAAAACTAGGAAGTCATATTCACAGTTGCTCAAAAAAAGAATGCAAATGAGATTTACAGGCAGCAATTGCAATTCAGCATTCCTGAGGACACACATTAGAAATAAGGATAACAAGAGATGCATTGCCAAAGATTTTGCTCATATTTGGACCTAAGAATCTCAAATTCCATTCCAGATGCAGAAACGACTGAGTACTTGTAGGCAGATGCCTTTTGTTTTAACCTTAATCTTCACTTACACTATATTTCTGTTCCACCACCCATCTCATACCCTAACCAAAAGAAGCCAAACAAACAAGACCCACATACCTCTCCTACCCAGCTTCCATCCTCTTCCACCATTACAGCTGTTCATCCCAGTCTTGTCAGTACCCAGCTAATCTTTGTCTCCAATTCTTAGATCTTTTTATCTGAAACTCACTGCTTACCAGTCCCAGCTGTTTTCATATGGACTCATATGATCTCTCTGTTCTTTCAATGTCTTTCCTATATTCAAATGGTCCCACTCGCCTTAGTAGCCCCACAAATCCAGCTACAAACTTCAAGCAATTCTAAATATCTCATAATTCTCTATGGCATGAGAACTTGGCCAAATCCAGGTGAACTTTGATGTGAACAACAAAAAGATATTCATGGTACAAAAAAAACCCTCTGCCTGAAAGCAAGGGTAATGCAACTCTTCATAGAAAAGTTCATCACCCTTTTTCCTACAAATAGTACAATTAAAACATTTGTTTGATGCAAGGACTTCTTAAAACGCACACTAATGATTTTTCTAAAAGTTGTACGATTTTTAAGTCTCAGAAGAAAATTAAGTTAATATTTTCAGACTATTAAGCACTTCTATTCATATGTCTTGTGGAACAAACTATTTGAGCTTCAGAGAAAATACAAGAAAACTACCTACAGACATCTTATTTGCTCAGTTCTACATAGCAAGAACATAACAGAAAATTCTACATCTGGCATGAAAGTGAAACATTTATCTGTACCAACCAACACTGAAGGCTACATTTTGGCAAAAACAAAAATTCCACTGCTGTAGTTTTTCAAACAATGTATTTATTTCACTGAAACCAGAGAAGATGGCAACACAGAATCAAAAAAAAAAAACCCCACGTTATTATGTAATTTAAAATTTTGTATTTCTTAAACAGAACAAAATGAATCAATTTAATAGCTTACACAAAGTTTAAATCTGGTGTAATACTATAAACATAAGCATAGCTTAAAAGTGCTGCATCACCTTCACATATAATTCCAAGAATTCTCTAGAAGTTATCATGTTCTTGGCTGCATGGTAAATATCTCTTCCTACTCCACGAGATCCAAATTCAACCTTGGAAAGATATCCAAAACTTATGTCTTAAGATTAAAATTAAAACACAAATCTCTAAATAAGTTCCCTGTTTTGACAAGTAAATTAACTTCAGCTCTACAAAAGCATAAAACCAAGAAAATGCAGAATTTGGAATGACAGTACATCCTCCCTCTGCTTTTTAGCGCCCAATACATTACAAAAACTTCACTTTCAAGTCTAGATGTTTAATATCATGACATTCCTGATTAAATTACTACAAAAAGACAGTATGATTTAAGTCAAAATGACGGCCTGACTCTTGAATGTTCTGTGTTTATACTTTACACAGAAGAGAATAAACAGGAAAGCATTTAAGCTCTAATCTCTGCTTTGAATTTTTATTTCCCTTAGATTTTAATATAAACTAAGCACCTATATGCCGCCTTTCTAACGTTGCTGCAAATTCCTAACAATACACCTAACCTCAACACTCAAATGCATGATGTAATATAACTAGAAAAAAATTAAAATACAGTAGCAAAGTTGGTAGCTCTTAGCAAAGCCACATAAAATTGAGACTGGAGAGAAACGTTCACAGCTTAGAATGCACCACTGTTTCAACCCTAGCAATCTGGGAAGCAGCAGGTGGGAAGCCATCACACAGAGGTACAGAGAATTCACCCCTCATCTGCGCAATGCTCCTCACAAGCTCATGTCACAGGAAATTACAACAAAATACCATGTAGAAGAGAGAATGCATGTTAAAAAAAAAAAAAAAAGCAGAGGAAACTATACAATGTAAAAGGACAGAACACAGACAGATGGAAAAATACATCACGTTGAAACTGGCAGCAGACACATCTGAACTAAATAAAAGAGAAAAGTCAAAGTTGTCTAACGACAGGTGTCTTGTTGCAGGATACAGTGACAGATAAATCCAAAGCACCGTATTGTGTCACAACCCCTAAAATAGTATTTTTAGATGAAGTTTAACCCTAGTTCCGTCAGGACCATCAGAATACTTTTCAGAACATAATGTGAAAAAGCTGTTAGAGCACTACATACTTACCCACCACAGTGAACTGCCTCCAACAAACTGCAGACTGCCAAGATACTTTGCAATGACTAGTCTTGGCCATTTACATTTGTAAAAAGCGAAGAAATTAATGTTTTTAAACATTTCTTTTTAAAAAGTAAAAATTGTATTCACCTGTGATATTTCCCAACATATCTTGAGAGTGGCAAATCAAATCTTCACTTTCCCCATCTTTGACGTTGCCTATTTCTCCATAATAAAGAGCAATCCCAAGCTGCATTATACGTATAAACATAGGAAGCTGCTGATCAGAGATTGAAAGTTTCAAACTTTCAACTAATGTGTGAATCTAGAACATGAAAGAGAACAAAAGGAAATAACAACAAAGTTCTGTCATCATTAAAGCCAACTTTTAAACCACACAACTCCATATTCATTTTGTACGTGCATTCTAATTTCAAAAAACAAAAGCTGCAATACAACACAAGACAAAATGCTGCCAACAATGACTAAAAAACATACACTCCTTGGGGTGCTACACAAGAGATATTCAGGCTGAAAAGTGAAATGTAACGTATTATGTATATTTTTTTTTTTTTACAATTGTTGCTGAAGAAATTTCTAAAACATAAGTCACATATGTGCATCTGATTAAACTTTTATTTTCATTATAGAGTTTCATAAAAATCTCTACATGCTAAAGAAAACTTACATATATTTGTTTCAATATACAGGGTCCTTCATTTTGATTCTTTCCCCCTCTCAACATTGTTTCAAGAGGTCCAGTAACGGGGGGGAAAGATATTTTAGCTATTTTATGCAATACTTAAAAATATTTTTAGGAGTATGTGATCATGCTCTAAAGGTAAAAACAAACTTGATAAGAAAGTTACCTTTCATTAAAATAAGAGCTGCATAAAATAAAATGCTTGTAATAAGATAACAGTCTGTAACATTAGACATATTTCTAGCTCCATGTCCAGTTTCTAAACGTTGTGGGTGATAATAACAGAAAGGGAAAGTAAGTACACATCAGCAAAGGCCTTCATGCAATCCAATTCAAGAAATATGAAACATGACTTTGTAAATGGTACTGAACATCCATGGGCAGGTAAAAATACAGTAGTAAAATAAATATTTGTATAAAAATATGCTAATATAGTAAGACTTCACTACTAAATTGATATGACTAAATTAATAAAACCACATCCTTAGTCATACAGAATGGGTGACAACACAATTGTGTCAGCCATTTGTATAGACTAAAGATATTTGGTATCAGAATTCTGCTATTATTTAAAATTCTCTGAAAGAAAACATCATGTAAAATCCTAAGATACCTTTTTGAAAATAAAAATTAATCCTTCAATACTAATTTTTCACGGTCAGTTGATTAAAAGTTGTCAATAATAAATCTTTTTTTATTGATGAACGACTGGAAGGATAAGGAGCGAATAATTGTGTTAAGATTTGGAAGGAAAAAAAGATTAGTTTGGCAGAAGCCTTTTTAAAAGTCACACAAGAGGCATATGGCATAGTAGAGGACAGGAACACTAGGTAGCACTGCAGGCAACTAACATAATTATACAGTGGCTTAACTGAAATTATGTTACACTCAGAATCACAGAATAGAATAGTAGGGGTTGGAAGGGACCTCTGTGGGTCATCTAGTCCAACCACCTACAGCAGGCTGCACAGGACCGTGTCCAGGCGGGTCTTGAATATCTCCAGAGAAGGAGACTCCACAACCTCCCTGGGCAGCCTGTGCCAGTGCTCCGTCACCCCCAGAGGGAAGAAGTTCTTCCTCGTGTTCAGACGGAAACAGAGACTTGTAATTTGGCCATAATCTTTTGCTCTGCAAAACTGGCATACAGGACTCAGATAGGTAAGAAATTACTTCTCCAAAATTCACAGAACTATTTGGCTAGTTTAAAAATCAGACTTTTTAACATTAAGATTTACTGTCTATATCTAATAATCATACCGTCACCAGAGGATATAAAGACCATAACCAGTAAACAACAGACCAGACAGTCAAACGATGATTCCTTATTATCACTGGAGTTCATATAGACTCCAAAGTTACAGGCACATGGTTAAAGGTCCTAATATCACTGAATATATAATTTCTTATTTATAAAACTCAAAATAAGAAAATTTCCAAAATTGCTACAAGTTACTCTGAACAAAAAGAAAAAAATGAACTTTTCTTTGTAATACATTGAATCAATCTTTCTATATTTAATTATTAAGACCTGCACATGAAAAAATTAAATTTCTGCAAACATACGTACTACCGGACATTTGTGGGCGAGTATCCAGCATTTTGTGACAATTCTTATCTGGATAAATACTCATTTGGTCATTACCACATCCACAAACCTCCACAGTTGCCCAAAATAATGAAAGGCTTACAGCTGTACAGCACATACAAGAAACAGTGGCATCTGACAAATCAGACATGATTACTAATTAACTCGCAACTTTAAGTTCACAACAGCTTAGGACTTCCTGAATCATACTAAGAGTTAAACAAATGCAGTATCTCAACTGAAAGAGTGACAATTCTAAACTATATTCTTGAAAAATGCCCATGAAAATTTATCTCAAAAATTACTATTGTGCAGTGCATACACTTTTAATAAAAGCTTTATCAAAATTTGGGAAAAGCCTGGTATAAAGTCGGTGTCTTCATTTAAAACAGTTCTCCACTATTTAAATGGGCACCCCTGGTATTCACTGAGAGAGAGAAGGAGGGAAGATGAACCTCACATCTATGACTAGTCAGGGCAGGAGAAAGGAAAAGTAGGAGTGAAGGCTATTTTCATCTCTCCACCAACTCAGCGTTTTGCTTCTGCACTGCAAAATGTAAACATGTCACCTAGTGTCAGATATCCACGAGTAATACTGCACCCCTGCTCACTCTGAACTGAGCTTGGCTTGCTAATCCATTTCACGTGGCTCACTACGTAGTGTTAATACACAGAAGTTTCTTGTGCTTGGTAAGAGTTGAGCTACATTTGAGACAACAACCTAAATAAAAAAATCCTTTCCATCTTATTGCAGGCATGTTAAAGCATACAATATCTTTTTTCTTGAATAGGTTATCTGCAGACTTTTTTTTTCTCCTTACGATCACTATGGTTTCTTTTTTAAAACTTCTGAAAGAAAAACAATAAGAGATAGAAAAGATTACAGAGTATTACTTCCTTACTTATATGCTGTTACTGTACATGGTGTAATTGCATCATACGAACAAAACACAATCAAAAAATCCCTTTAGCAAAAAAACAGCTGCCTTAGCTTTTCATTTTACTTTAATTCTCAAAGTATATTTTGAAAAACCTCAAACCTCCACAAGTTAGTAGCAAAAAAAAAATTATTTTGGATACCTACTTTAATAATAGATGGCATTTTGGAGTTGAGGTTATCATACGTAAAATGCAGACGAGTCCTGAAGGAACATTTGTACAGCAGAGGTTCCTGGTAAAATTCAATTTTGCCACTAGCATTTCTCTTATCAAGACATACTGTACAGTCAGAAAAGTTGATCATCTTTCTCAGTACCAGATCGGTGGCTTTTAAAAAAGAAGTATATAGGTTAAAAAAAAAACATTGCATAAGAAAAAAAAGTTATTTTATATAACTTATAAAAGGTCTTTTATATAATATATAACAATACGTATTTTATATATATCTCTCTAAAAGAAAACAGTACAACATAGTTGTGTGATCATAATTTAGATCATCATAGTACTTGCTTACATGACTAAAGAAAATAATTTAACGTGTCACAGATATTTTCAGCTGAATACTTAAAAAGTGAGGACAAATTAGTTACACCCAATTCAAATTTTCATCCCTTCTCTGTACCTTAGATCTGTTTATAAAATAAGATTACTGCTTCATGTGCAAGCATGAAACCAATAAATACTATTCTTGTTACTCTACCGGAAAGCATCTTGCATATTTTCCCCCAGTTTTATCTTTCAAATCATCCAAAGCAAACAAGAGCTATGACAGTGCTCTTAACATGCAGCATATTTTCTAATTTTCTCGTACTAGTTTGTAATAATTTTAGCCAGAACAAAGAAATGGGTCCAGTGGTCGAGAAACCATTAATTATATTCCCCATTCTACTGGAAAGCCTCTGTGTGATCTTAAAATACTCTTACTATGCCCAAATTCCACCTCTACCAAATGTCACTAAGAACACCTGGACTTATAGGTGAATGTTCGTAATTCAAAGACTGAGACATTCAGATACTGAAGACCAAAATAAAAATCAAAAAGTTGGGGTTTTTTTCCTGAAAATGTGAAGTGAAATGAAGCATGTCTTGCAATTGGTATGCCATGTTCACTACAGTGCAGCATGTTTTACTACATCTCTAGCCAGCCTGTTTAGAGAGTTTTAAGATCATCACAAACAACTGCAGTGGAAGGCCTTAAGACGCTACTGCTCATTCACAAAAATCAAAATAGACTGTCTAAGCACTCGGTGCCAGAAGCAAGCACAGAACGATGGCAAGCGTGAGCAGAGAGGACTACAAAACATGTTGTATAATTATCTGTTATCATAAAAGTACATGTTAAGAATCAATCTATAACTAGCTCTTTAAAGTGAAGGACAAGGTAAAAACTGGTAAGAAATGAACATAGGTAGAAATTATCTCAATTCTGATATAAAGAGCCATTTTTACTAGACTTGCAAATTTCTGTAAGAATTTAAGATTGCCTCCACTGTGATATCTAAAATCAAAAAATATCTGCTTACCAGAGATGTCCATAAACGCTCGATCCCAAAACTCATCCACTGTATAGCATTCTGCAGAAGTGATATTGACTGAGAGAACAATATCATCCTCCACATATTTTAATATGAGATTATTGATCACAATGTTGACATTGTTCACAACGCGCCTAATCAAACTTTGAACATAACCTATAAAATAAAAGAAATTCTTAGGAGTTATAAGGAAGAAATTATGCCAAATTCATTTATTACTAAAGTCATTATTTCCAACTTGTATTCTTTTTTAAAATCAAAATTAAAACAAAGTATCATTATCCTTTATTTATCCAAAGACCACAGGATTTAAAACTCTTTAACAGTCAGTGCAGTTAAGTCAATCAGCATCCTGGAAATGCAGTAAATGACAGAAAAATCCATTGTAAACACTAGGAATGTAATATAGCGTAAGAGATTAGTTTGAAAGTTGATTCTTGCCACCAAAAACTAATTAAAAAAACAGAAGACTGGATTATCGTAAACAAAGAATTTTAATGATAGTGGCTTTTTTACTTGAAAGATATTTAGAAATAGGTTTGGAAAAGTGAACGCCAATTGCTAGGTTACTTTTCAAGTATGCATATATTACACCTATTTGCCCCCTCACCTAGTTGTGCTTGATTATTTTTGAAGTTAACTAAACACTAATATGCCTAGTACTTTTTTTCATTCTAAAAGCTAATATATACACATCATGCTCAGTAAGACCCCTGTGAGGTATAACAAAATCAACTTCTGTCAACAACCCAAACAGCAAGCACCTGCACTGAAGCCTGTTGGGAAGAAATCCATTCAAATTTTTTCAGACATAATGTGATTGGAAAAATTATCTCATCTGTGAATTCTCAGTATGCTGTAAACACTCATATTTTACCAATATGGTAAAGAAATTAAATACTACCCATATTCATGTCTTTTATGTGTACTGAATGTAAATATGGACCTAACTCATTTGTGCTGGGAAAAAAAAAAAACCTTAAAATTGCTATGTCTTTAAATTTATAATATTACTCACAGTATCTAAAAATATATTTAATACACGCAACAGAGGTGTAGTTTGTTAACTATGCTGAAAAAAGCCAGTTAATGATACAGGTTTAAATCCACAGGCTTCAAGAGTAGTTTTCTGAAACTTGCATTAGATAAGACTCATTCATATCAAAAGTTTTAATTCAAATAAAAATTAAAATGAACATCAAAACATTGTGAGCTCAGTAGAAGGAGACTCAGGTTGCTACTTACATTCTGCTCTGCTTTTTCTAGCTATTTATGGTTTTCACACTGAAATATTACTTTTCACCTTAGAGTATATAGAATGCTTTACCATTACATAAGTTATTTTCTTAAGTTCCACAACTGCAAATTCACACAGCTGACACAGGACAGTTTTTATTCTGATCAGGTACATCGTTATGTTTTAGAAGTATTTCAGTACTGAAATCTTAATTGTAAAACACATTTCACTGTTCTTATCATAACTCAGCTTGCTTCATTTTACACTGTTCTTGAGCATACATCACCCTTTGAACAAAGCTAGATCCAGCAGGATGGAAACAGCATTTTAACATCTCTTGCCATTTTAATAGGATTGTAATTGTATTAAAACAGAATCTGGAAAATGTTTTAGGCCATTGTCTACAAAAACAGGAAATCCAGAAATGCAGTGGAAGTCAAAGTTTGGACAGCTTAGTACTGTCAGTTTTCCAACATAATCCAAATTTACCTTCATAGCATATCAGTCTAAAAAAAACACTGAAAAATATGTGGAATAACTTGGTTTTAAGAATTTTCTCACTGACTTCTTAAAACGCTAACATATTTTTAGGTTTTATGAATTCAGAAAATCAGATATGTTATTTTAATAATTAAGTGGCATAGGAGACCCATATTCATCACTGGAGTGGTGTAAACTGACCTGTATATAAACAGAGGCCTGCACAAAGCATTTAGCTGCTTTTCTTAAGTTCAGTATAGAACTACTTTGCAGACTACATAAATAGCAACTATAAACCATATCCAGTAATCTAATTATCATTTTAAAGTAAGCTACTAATCTTATTGAAGAAAGTGAAGCTCTCCCTCCACAGGTCCAACTGTTTTTTTCAATACTGTGCTTTCAAGGCTCTTCCAAAATCAAACTAATTTATATTTTCCTGCTGTGAATGACAGAATGACAAAAACATTACAAAACCAGCATCATAGCAGCAAAAAACAGCAAGTTCTACTGATAGTTTCCATCAGTATTCAGGAAAAGAGCAACAATGCTTTCATATGTCTGTCTTCCTGCCTGAATGCGTAAAAAGAGGGAGCAGAATTAGATCTTCCAAATGCAACAGGAGTCACGGATTTGATAAACAATTTTGTTTCACACTTCTGCAAAGACATTTCCAAACTAGTGGTGCACTATATTGTTAGAAGTACCATACAGGTACCAGCTTTCCACTGAAGTTTAGCTTGAAATATACTAGAATCGGATTCTCTTAAGTGAGGATCAGTCTTTTAAGAAGATTACTTCAAACTCTAATTCTTACTATTCATAACAAAGTAATAAAAACATCAGCAAGTTCATGTATAGCACAGTTTAGAAAAAAAGGGGGCTGTTTTAAAACAAGTGGGAGAAAACAGCTGGCGATTGCTTCTTATTCTTAGAATTTTTAAATATAATGCTATGACTATCTTTGCCACTAAAATTCAGGTATTCTGTGATGAAGTGAGTAAAAATACTAGAAAATCTATAGGGGTAAATTCTCTCCTGAGGTGCAACACAAAATCCACATGTATGCTTTGTCCAAATTCTCCAGAACCCAGCTGGCTGGACTGTGCAGTAAGAGCTACAAATACATTTTCAGACCCAACCCTCCAAAATTTCATAGCACCATAGTCCAGAGAGTGGTCTGTTGATTCAACAGAGTTGATACCATCAGACTGGTCACATCTAAACATACTAAGTTTAGTAGTGCTCTATTGTTACCAAAGCTACAATTTTAGCTAAGCTCTGCCTAGCTCCATCTCCAAGAACACAGCAGAGCTAAATGACAAATGAATCTTTCAACAAGTTGCAACAGTAGCATAATACCTGTATCCTCCAAAGACTGAAACAAATCTAAGCAGACGATTACATACCAAAATCCGGAATCTGCAAATCAAAGCTTAGCAAAGCCATATTCTGTACCAGAGAGAATGAAATCTTCCTATAAAGAAGCCTCTACCCCCCATGGAGGCTGTTTGCCATATAGGACCTCTAAATAAACAGTGTTATTTATGCACCAAAAACCAAAGCCATCTATATTTAGAGAACTTCAACACATGGAAAGTAACTTGCAGCCCATTCAACAAGGTAAGATTTCACTAACACTCTCCGAATCACCAGACTTCGCCAGCAACATACTCTTTGCAGCTGAAGAAGGAATGTGATGAGAATGAAGGAGTCATTGCCCTATGGATTTACAGAAGTACAAATGTACATCTGCAGAATCTATCAAATAGTAACATAAGGAGGCACCAGATAATTCGCTACAGTACTGCAAATACATCAAGTGCAATCCTTATGAGCACACTAACCATTAAGAGCCACAATATATTCACAAATGACGACACGCACACTAATTTTTAATGCACATGTTGCATCTGGACCTGTGGAAATACATCTTTCGGAATGTTTTAACTTCATCACATGCCAACCTTACAATAAGTGATAGGCTGGAGGGCTGCTAAGACGACATCTTTCTGGGAGGTCCACAGATAACACTGACAGAAACAAACTTGAGGAACCAAAATCCTAAAGCTGACCCTAAGGGCAATATAATCCTGCAATTTTTCGGCAAGCCTTTGGCCCCTGCCGTTCATGGCAAGACCCAACAAATCAAGCGCCAAGGGGCTGCCGGCACTGAAGCGCTGTCCATGGTACGACCGGAGAACACCAGGAGTCTGGCAGCTCCAAGCCACCCACGTTCACTGGATCTCTGGGCTTCAAGAGAGCCTCCAGACACGGCTCCTCAAGCCCCCATACCAAAGCAAGATGACACACTATAACATACAATATTCCACACACTAGATTTCAATTTTCTCTTTTGACTCAAGGCGAGTATAAACTTTCTGTTAACAAAAGACTAAGAAAAAAAAGACTAACACAAACCTGTCATGTCTTTAACCTATCCAAAATTATGTGCCCCAAGAAAGCAAATTGCAATTCATTCCAGTACTCTGAAACAGAAGAACCAGAGGAGCAGAGGATAAAATGTAACACACTACCCCTACAGTACATTTCTCACACTAATCTGTACTGCACTATAAACGAGTTCTGTAAATTCAAGGATTCAACAAAATAGAAGGAAAAGATAAAAGAATTAACCACATTTTATTGCAATTCAGTTCTACTTTATAATATTCAAGTATTTCATTCATCTTTACATGATTTGTAGGTGGACAGAGATGTAACAGTCTAACTTAGACACTGGCCACCTGAATGACATTTACGTATTTTCTACCACTCAAACACAATCCAACTTTAAGTTATGGATTACCTGGAGGTAAATCAGGGTCAGGAGAAGCAGACTGCTGAACTCGACGTGGTTTTACTGCTGATTTCATGCTTTCCGTGGTACTGCGGTTTGTTGAACTGGAACCACAACTTTCATGATCTTCCTGCTAGAGGAAAAGAAAACAACCGAGTCAACAAAACAAAAAGAAAATAAATGTGGGGAGAACAACTTGGTAAAGACTTGGTAGATTACACTTCTGTTACTGTTCTCCCATCAATTCAATCCTGTACATGCATATAACTATATAATTTATTAGAAAACTAGCTGGGCAACATAAGTTCTTTGCAATTAATATTTCCACTAGCTTTTATTTAAAATTCCCCCAAACCTCCGTCATTTAATTACTGATTTCAACTGAACACATTTCATCTAACTGCATTTCTGCTGAAAACATTTCTTCAAAGACAGAGACCTGCAGACTACCAAAAAAAATACGAGAAAGCGCTGAGTTTTATGAGCTTACATGCCTACTCACAAAAACACATCAGATGGTTCCAAGATGTCAGAGTTATGTCCTTCCTAATACAGCTAACTGAAGCTGACTCACAAAGAAAAATATTTTTGCAGACTTCTAAAACAGTAAAACATGGCCCCAGAAAAGATAAATGAACTAAGGGCACCTGCTCATCTGTAGCTTCAATATAGCTTATTCACCTTAAGGAATCCAGAAGCAGGAAACATGCTCATAATTAGAAAATATGATATAAGCCTTACAAGATTAAATTCGCAGACACAAGAAAATCTTAGCTAGCTGAATTTAACGTTTTAAATACTCCACTATTATTCCCATGATATTCCAGAATGACAGTTTAACTACAAGACTCAAGTGCAAGCAAATTCTTACAAGTATTGACCCAAGCCAAATTATCTCTTTGACACATGTAGACACTTTCAGAAAAAGAGCAAATTGCTCTCTGGCTCACGGCACTACCAGGATCACAGAACATGTTCACAAGAAGCAGGGTTTGGGGAGCAAATGTCAGAGAATCACAGAACAGTAGGAGCTGGAAGGGACCTCTGTGGATCAGCTAGTCCAACCATCCTGCCGAAGCAGGGTCACCTACAGCAGGCTGCACAGGACCATGTCCAGGCAGGTTTCGAATATCTCCAGAGGAGAATACACAGCCTCTCTGGGCAGCCTGTTCCAGTGCTCTGTCACCCTCAGAGGGAAGAAGTTCTTCCTCATGTTCAGATGGAACTTCCTGTGCTTCAGTTTGTGCCCATTGCCCCTTGTCCTGTCACTGGGCACCACTGAAAAGAGCTTGGCCCCATCCTCCTGACACCCACCCTTCAGATATTTATAAGCATTTATTAGGTCCCCTCACAGCCTTCTCTTCTTC